TACGTTGGCCATCCTGTATGCCGTCTCATTAAAAACTAACCTCTTATTTTTAATGACTTGGTTTTAGTCCTTTGAAGATCAGACTGTAAGAGTGGCTCACTGTTAGCAATGCGGATATCCATATATCAGCTTTTCTAAAAAAAAAAAAAATCAGCCCTAAAAACAAAACAAAAAAACTTCCTTCCCTTCTAACCCTCGGTGAATTCTTTCCTATTTTTATCCAAGGACACACTTTTTTTCTCCCAAGTTCTTTCAAATCACCGGGCTGCTGAGATCAGCTGAGGCTACTACTAAACCTTCAAACAAAGGTCAGGCAGTGTTAAGAGCTTTGGCTGCTCTCACTTAAACTTGCTAAGCAGATCTGGTATTTCTCCTTCAGTGCTACAAACAACGTACACTACGGGCAGTATTTATTGGCTTAGTTAAAACATTTCTATGCCGCCTATTCCCCCAAATAGGTCCCCCAAGGAGGCGAACGTCAAAACATTTCTACATTTCCATGTGAGAATTACATTTGAAATAAAGTATCTATAGAATAAGTCGATAACAACATGTAAACATATAAACACATGCAACATCAAAGCCAGGGAGGGGAAAGTACAGTAAATGGCATTGCTTTCTTTAGATGTATAAAGAAGAAGAAAAGATTGGATTTATACCCCACTCTTCACTCGGAGTCTCAGAGTGGTTTACAATCGCCTTTCCTTTCCCCTCCCCACAACAGACACCCAATGAGGTAGGTGGGGCTGAGAGAGCTCTTTCGAGAACTGCCTGTGAGAGAACAGCTCTGAAAGAACTTGTACCTGACCCAAGGTCACACAGCAGCTGCATGTAGAGGAGTGGGGAATCAAACCTGGTCCTCCAAGATTAGAGTCCACACTCCTAAATACTACACCAAACTGGCTTTCTTACTATGCCAAGCTGCAGAGCAGTTAGTTCATCTAGCCTGTTCTTGCCTACCCAGGCAATAGATCTGCACAGAGAAGAAGAAGAAGAGAAGAGTTTGGATTTATACCCCGCCCTTCACTTGGAGTCTCGGAGCGGCTTACAAACTCCTTTCCCTTCCCCTCCCCACAACAGACACCCTGTGAGGTGGGTGGGGCTGAGAGAGCTCTTGACAGAAATTGCTCTTTTTCAAGGACAGCTGTGCCAGAGCTTGTGACTGACCCAAGGTCACATCAGCAGGTGCAAGTGGCGGAGTGGGGACTCAAATACGGTTCTCCCAGATTAGAGTTCGCACACTTAACCACTACACCAAACTGGCTCTCTCTCACAGCCACAAGTAGAGGTCTCTGCCTCATCCCGGTTTTCAGATCATGCAATTCAGTAGCAGCCAGATTACACAAAAGATGGTATTGCATGAGCCTCTCCGACTATTCTCTGAATAGCGAGACATTCCAGTACTAGTGCTTTCCTGGGATGGTTCCCATTGAAGAGAGAGCACTGGAGATGCGTGTGTATATGTGTGTGTGTGTGAAGTAGCAGCCAGATTACACAAAAGATGGTATTGCATGAGCCTCTCCGACTATTCTCTGAATAGCGAGACATTCCAGTACTAGTGCTTTCCTGGGATGGTTCCCATTGAAGAGAGAGCACTGGAGATGCGTGTGTATATGTGTGTGTGTGAGAAGTGCCATTGAGTCACAGTCTTAAGGCAACCCCGTATGTTTTTCAAGGCAAGAGAGATGGTTTGCAATTGCCTTCCTCTGCATCGCAACCCTTGACTTCCTTGGTGGTCTCCCATCCAAATACTGATCAGGGGCAACCCTACTTAGCTTCTGACATCTAACAAGAATGGATTAACCTGGGTCATCCAGATGAGGGCATTGGAAACTTACCTCATTCATATTTACATACCAACATACAGTAAAACACAGGCGGGGCCAGAGAGGGACTCTTGCATGGCAACAGGGCTGCTACCCAATGTTAGAAAACAGAGAGACAGGTCCTGCACCCTCAAGGTGCTTTAACCAACCCATAGCAGGATTGATCTTATTCTCTCTCTCAAAGTCTGCCAAAGTCTGAAGCAGCTGTTTTGTCCACACACACACACAGGCTGGATATCGCGGGGGGAGGCGTGGCTAATTGCCCCGGAGGAAACTAACATGTGGCCACCTGAGCACACATCCCGGTAGAGGTCACGTGATTAGGGGGGAGATGCCAACTAGACGGGTATCCTGCAGCATGGCACAGAAGCTGCGCCGCGCGATTGCACTAGCAATTGCTCTTTGTGTGCATGCGCTGTTGGGCGCTGTTGCGCAACCTGCGGAGACTTGGGAGACAAAAAAACCCTTGTGTGCGACGTACAGCAGCGGGTGCTGGATGCCACGTAGGTCCACCGGAAACGCGATCAGATGCCTGCCCTTGTCCCGCAGTTTCCGGAAACTAGTACCTTGGAGATATTAGTTTTTTACTCCGCATCTTCGGCGGGAAGCCTCGGGTTAGCCACGGGAGCTCTACGCTTCCCAGATGTTGCGGTGTGATCGCACCCGGAAAATCCGCCTACCATCCGTATCGTCAGCGCGGCAAATGCTCCGTGTGACCGCAGCCATACAAATCTTTCCTCTGTTCCTCCATCACTTCCACCACAACCTGATGGGCGCTTGGACAGAGCCATTTCCTGACAAGTAAAACCCACTGTGGTGATATCTACAGTTGTTAAGAAACTTCCCCCCCCGTTGCTTCCAGATGTGCCACTTTAGAGCATATTCCTAGGATATACTCATTCACAGTAAACTGTTTCCTCCAAACCTCTCCCAAGGGGTCCATCTGGTCTCACAGAAAGAATCTGTTGTTTTTAATTACCTGTAAATATCAGATATATGTATCTATCCGAGTGGGAGACTAACCCTATACCCCATGCTCCTTTCTCATTCTAAATTGCCCCCCAAGTATTGCCCTCCTCAGAAAGTTCTGTCTGTCCAAAATTTGGCAATGCGGATTTCTTCACAGTCAGCCTTGGTTTTCACTTTGTGTGATCTGCAAACTTGGCCACTAGAACTAGAACTAGATCATTGATGAATAAATTAAATAGTACCAGCCCCAATACCTATACTTGTAGGACCCCACTGCTTACTTCCCTCCATTGTGAGAACCATCCATGGATTCCTACTCTTTGCTTCCTGTCATTTAACCAGTTTTAATCCATAAGAGAACCTGTGCTCTTATACCATGACTGCTAAGTTTATTCAGGAGTCAGTCATTAGGTACATTGTCAAAAGCCTTTTCAAAGTCCAAGCATATATGTCTGCCAGGTCACTGTTGTCTACAAGCTCATTCACTTTCTCAAAGAACTCCAAAAGTTTGGTGAGGCAGGACTTCCCTTTACAGAAGCCATGCTGATTTTCCCTCAGCAGGCTTTGTCCCTCTATGTGCCTAAGAATTCTTTCTTTGATTACAGATTGTACTAATTTGCCTGGGACAGACATTAGGCTGACTGGCCTGTAATTTCCTAGTTCCCCTCTGGATCCCTTTTTTAAAACTGGTGTAACATTTGCAACTTCCCAGTCTTCTATTACAGCAGCTGAGTTTAGTGATAGAGTACATATATGAGTTAGTAGAAACCAACTATCTCACATCTGAGTTCCTTAAGAACTCTTGGATATATGCCATCAGGACCTGGAGACTTATCAGTCAGTCAAGAAAGTTCAGAGCCCCTCTCCCTCCTCCCCCTAAGGAACACTACTCTCTCTGTGTCTTTATTAGGAAATGCTGGCAGTCTTGTAAAAGCAAAACTAGTACAGTCAGAGAAAGGCCAGACTGCAATAATGAAAGAGAACAAAATGAAAGAAAATTATGGGGTTTTAGTTCTAGGCTGTTCAGACAGGGATTTTGCTTTGTTTTCATATTCATTACAATAATTATGACACACCATTTTTATAATCATTATAACTAATAACAAGATGCACAAGTCTAATTACAGCTAAAAACAATGCAGGAGGAAAAGTATGACACATAGAACTAAAGCATGCATGCATGCATGCATTCATTCATTCATTCATTTAGAAGAAGAAGAGAAAGAAGAGATTGGATTTATACCCCGCCCTTCACTCGGAGTCTCAGAGCAGTTTACAATCTCCTTTCCCTTCCCCTCCCCACAACAGACACCCTGTGAGGTGGGTGGGGCTGAGAGAGCTCTGACAGAAACTGCTTTTTTCAAGAACACCTCTTGCCCAAGGTCATCCAGCAGCTGCAAGTGGAGGAGTGGGGAATCAAACTCGGTTATCCCAGATTAGAGTCCACACACTTAACCACTACACCAAGCTGCCTTTTTTAACTGCCTTTCTCCCTTGCAAAACTCAAGGTGGTTTACAATATAAATAAAACAATGGTAAAAACACAATAAGACTATATTAAGGCCCCGTTCACACGAGGCGATTTGGCCCGGGAACGGGCCAGTTTGGAGGCGGATCAAAGCAGCGCGATCACACCACCACATCTGGGAAGCGTTCTGCTTCCGCCTCCAAACTGGCCCAAACCCGGGAAGAACCGCCGCAAAATGAACCACCTACCTCGGTGGTTCGAGTGGACGCGGCGCTTCTTCCCGGGCGTCTGATCGCCGGCGCTCCCTTGCGCCGGCTCAACCCCGGGCCGGAGCCGAACTGCAGGGGCCTAAATTGATCAACAATTCTAACAACAAATATATTAGCCAGGGCATTGGAGGCTATGACTAGTTGGTTACAACCAGGGCTATTTTTGGGCAGGAACGCACAGGAACGGAGTTCCGGCTGGCTCCTGAGTTGGCCACGCCCAGCAGGAACTCATTAGCATAATAGGCCACACCCAACAGCAGAAACTCATTAGGATTGGCTGCTACATAAGGGGTGTGTGGCCTAACATGCAAAGGAGTTCCTGCTACCAAAAAAGCCCTGGTTTTTGACAACAAACAAGGTAAACAGAATAAGAAGCAAAAGGTGGGTGTGACTGGATGAGCACACTTCTGGTAACACAGGAGTGTGGCCTCATATGCTAATGACCTGACGTTGTTGCTTCCAGAGACTGAGCTGGAGGGAGGCGGTGGAGTTGGAAGACGGTGTTTGTCTTGTGCATGGCCTTGGAGCCGGTCATAACTCTGAGAATGGGTCCAGAGAGGATCTGTCCAAATGAGCATGAAGAGGTGGGGCTACAAGAGACATCTGATGGAACTCCTGATCCTGCTGGAGAATGGAGTAGTGAGGAACCGGAGGAGGAGGAAGAAGAAGAAGGCAGTCATGGCTACTTATATCAACCACTGAACCAAGATCCAGACCAGGGACCAGCAACCATTGAAGAAACAGAACCCAGCACAGAGCCAGTCCTTGACATCCGTGAGCGACTTCAGGCAATGAGACTGCACCTGCCTGATCCACCTGTGGACAGTGATGAGGAAGAAGGATCCCCACCCCAGAGCAGCCGAAGCTCCATCCCTATGGATCCAGGTAACAATCAAATGTGAAATGGTTTATTGATATTATATAATAGTAACCTGTGTGAAACAATGCCACCTTTATAACACAAAACTTTATTTTGGATGCCAAGTACTATTACAGTTCTAATATATTTTTTCTGTTATATCAAGTTGACACCTGAGGTCTATGGTCCTGTTATTCTATGGCACTTATGTCACAATTCTATCCTGTACTTCCTCCAAGGATTGCCCTGGTATAGATATGGTAATAAATGAACAGCTTGATAAAGTTGAGGAAGGGTTGGTGACATTAGTGCTGAGTGGAATCTGAACCCAGGTTTACGTACCTACATTCAGTTACTACGGTATCTTCTCCATCCCACTTGCTCTCATAACATTTTGTCTTTATTTCTGCAAGTCATTTTATTCTAACCTTTAATAACTAGAATATTTTCAAGCCAGCAACTTGAGTATAGAAGCCTCTGGTTTGTTACCTAATTGTTGCTGTTTCACGTGGATTAGATACTGTAGTGATCTGATGTAAAAATTTGTGGGGCAGTACCTATCCTGCTTAAGTTTGTTGCACGTACTCCTGTGTGGATGGAGCTACTTCCTAAGCATCAGTTAATTGGGAGTTAGCTGCCTTCAATTTCCATGTACTTTGTGAATATTAAACCCTGAAAGGTGATTATGTTGGCATATCTGGGATTTTGTTTGTTGGTTGAAGCAGTATCTCTCATCCTTCAGCTCTGTTTGATTCTAGAACATGTGGAGTTGGTGAAACGGACAATGGCTGGAGTCAAGCTTCCCACACTGGGAATACCTTCATCAGTTGAGATTAAATCCAACAATGACTGAGGTCCTGTGGTGTGGGATTAGGAATCCAGCTCCCAACTTTTGGCAGGGCATCATTGACGCCAGTGCCAATGGCAGAGAGCTCTATGGAGGCCCAGGTCATGAATGTTGCCAAATCAGCTTTTTACCATCTTCACTGGGACAAGCAACTGGTTCCCTATCTCTCCTCCCGTGACTTAGCCACGGTGATCCTTGCAAAGGTCACCTCCAGGTGTTCCCAACCTTTGGCAGGGCATCATTGACGCCAGTGCCAATGGCAGAGAGCTCTATGGAGGCCCAGGTCATGAATGTTGCCAAATCAGCTTTTTACCATCTTCAGCGGGACAAGCAACCAATGTTCCCTCTAAGCTGTGGAGTTTTGTGAGCAAAAATTCTACTTTGTGAGCTACTGGCATTAAAGTTGTGAGCGAGCGATTTGGCTACTACATACATTAGTTTGCTTTGGAGTCATCCTTCCTGAGCGAAGACAAAAATGTGTGAGCTGGAGGCTAAGAAACTCTGAGCTAGCTCACACTAACTCAGCTTAGAGGGAACACTGCAAGCAACTGGTTCCCTATCTCTCCTCCCGTGACTTAGCCACGGTGATCCTTGCAAAGGTCACCTCCAGGCTGGACTACTGTAACTCTCCTTATGCGGGGTTGCCCTTGAACTTGATCCGGAAACTTCAGCTGGTGCAAAATGCAGTGGCACACCTGTGGACTGGGACACCTGTGTGGGAGTACATTCAGCCTATGTAGGGTTGCCAACCTCCAGGTGGTGGCTGGAGATCTTCCACTTTTATGACTGATCTCCAGGTGACAGAGAACAGTTCACCTGGAGAAAATGGCTGCTTTTGGAGCTGGACTCTATGGCGTTAAATGGGATATAAGTCCCTCCCCTCCCCAAACCACACCTTCCTCAGGTTCCACCCCCAAAATCTCCAGGTATTTCCCAGTACAGAGCTGGCAACCCTAAGCCTGTGCTTCACCAGCTGCATTGGTTGCCGGTTGAATACCAGGTCAGGCTCAGTTTTCTGGTGTTACCCTTTAAGGCCCTAAACTCTATGCTCATGGGATCATTGGATCAACATCTGCTGGTAGTCCACAGCCCAAAATACATCTGCTTAGCCTCGACCAGAGCCAGAGGTTCTGGCTCCGGCCTTGTGGGACATGCTCTGCAGGGCCTGCAAAATACAGCTGTTCCCCCAGGACTTTGGTTGAGCCAGCAGGTGTCCAATTTATGGCCTCCCTTGCCCAAACCAGCCTACTTCAATTGCTTATGCTGTATACTCTACCAACTGTATGGGCTGGACCACCAGCCTGATATGCTGGCCCTTTCCAAACTGTGTATGGCATATACTTGGGGCACTGCCAAATGGTTAAATTATTATTCACCATCTTGGTTTAAATTTGAATTCAAATTTGATTTTTGGGTTAAAAATTGGATTTCATGGCAACTGTACTATTGAATCTATGGGTAACTGTTATTCTTTTATTTGTGATCTGCCCTGAGCCCTTTTATGGGGGAGGCTGGGATAGAAATCCCATGAAATAAGTAAGTAAATAAATACATTTATCAGGGTTGCCGTCTTCCAGTGGAAGAGCCCCTGGCCCCAGTCACACGGGAGGATTTGCCCTGCGGAGTGGACATGTTGAGGGCACATCAAACAGGCACCATCAGATGCCAACATCTGGCAAGCACTGCACATCCGCCCCCAACCCATCCCTTCCGGCCGAAAACATGGATCAAAAATGTACGAGGGAAAATGTAGTACCTACTGTAAGATCTGCAGCAAGGCCGGGCGTGGGATCGCGGACGTGCCAGCAGCCCGTGTTATTCGAGGGACTGCCGAACTGCGCATGTGTGACTGCTGGACTGCGGATGTGCACGAATACTCCAGCAGCCTCGACTCACCCGTCTTTGCCTCGCTTCTCCCAGCTTTGTGATCGCGCCGGACAGAATATGCACAGCGGCTCGGGGGAAGCGTCTGATCCCGATGCCGTGCTTTCCTTTGGTGCAGCTCTAAGAAGCCACATTTCTGGCGCGGCTTTTGCCACTGGTGTGACCGGGACCCCTGAAGTTCAAAGAAGGTTCCTTGGGCTGGAGGAAGTCTTCAAACCTTGCTCAGTGGACTGGGAGGCCAGGGGTGTGAGCCACCCCGCAGAGAAATAAACAACGCAGAACAATAGAGATCCATTACTTAACAGCCATCTTTTCCGTTTTTATTTTATTCTATACAGAGACACACAAAATTACAACAACCCCCCCCACACACACACTGCTATATACACAGACAAAAGAAGTTATATAAACCTATCCCAATCTGTGTTACTAAATCCCTCTCATTTAACTGAATTCTTTTAACTGAATTCCCAATGAGCAGGAATCATATCATGACCCTGTAAACAGAGTCAGATTCAAGTTAGGACTTCAGTTTTAATCCTATCCAAAGTGGTGTACTCATTCAAATACACACACACACCCACAACAACAACAGTGAGAACAGTGTTTTACATATTTTTGTCTGTGACCAGTCCTGCCTTTTATTTTTATTTATTTATTTATTCAGGTATTTCTACCCCGCCCTACCCCGCAAGCGGGCTCAGGATGTGAGCTTGTCCATCAGCATGCCATTCCATGATCTACCCCACCAGTCCTTTTTTCTTGGAACTGCCTGTTGTCTCCTAACTTAAGCTATTGCCAACCTTACAGTAAAGATGAGATGCCCAGTTGCATCACCATGGTCTTTTTCTTAATAGGTTAGACATATCTCCCAATAACATAAGAACATAAGAGACACCAATGTTGGATCAGGCCAAAGGCCCATCTAGTCCAACACTCTGTATCACACAGTGGCCAGGAATACCAGTTGCCATCAGGAGGTCCAGCGGTGGGGCCAGGACACTAGAAGCCCTCCCAATAGATCGATCATAAGTGAAGTGGCAAATGTGTAGCCAACCATTTCTACTTGTGTTTGTTGAGGACAGCAATGGTACAGCATGTCATCTGGCACGCTCATGCCCTCCATCCTCTGCAAGCACCCACCCCCTCCAAAGGCTTGTGAAATCTGTAAAAAAACCCTGCCATCTTGGACTGGATTATTTATTGTTGATGTATTATGCATTTTACCATAGGATTTTAATCTAAATTATTTATTGTATGTTTTCCCCTGTTTATTTATTTATTTATAGCTTCGATTTCTATACCGCCCTGACCCCGGAGGGTCTATGGGCGGTTTACAGAGGTTTCTAATGTTGCTATCCCTAACTACGGCCACATAGTGGGGGGGAGGGGCTGCCTACCGGCACCCTGGTGGTGGGCATTGCAGTTTCTCTGGCTCGGCTCCTTTCTTGCGAGGTCTTCTTATGAGGTCTTCCTGGCGGTCTCCAGGTCGGCACTTCCATCTGGTGTCAGAGATGGATCGTGGTGGCTTTTTTTTTGGCGGTCCGTTCTTAGTGCGTGGTCCCGTGTCTGTTCCGGCTTCAGCTATGTCCACATTTGGCTCCGCTGCGCCTGCGCTTCCACGTTGCCGCACCTTCTGGTTCCGCCTCCGTTGTCATCCGACTCAGCCCTTTGTGATTTGCCCTGAGCCCTGCTTGCAGAAAAGGACAGCCTAAAAATTGAAATGAATGAATGATAAAAGTGTGTGTGAGTGCCAAGATAATTTTCAATGACTCAAGAATCTAAGCAGACTACTGTGTCCAAGAGTTTATAGTCTTGGACTATAGTCTTTTGCAATTTTGATTCTTGAGGTTTACTAGACAGTGGTCAAATCTCTCTGCTCTCATGCTGCTGTGAGCTATAAGAAGACAACTGGAGCATCTCCAAGGCACTCAAATAGCAGGCAAAGACAGGTTTCCGGTTTTGGCAATTTGCTGGATGGGTGTGCTCCATCGTGCTCTGATGTGAGTGACCCAAAATTGTGGCAGATGGGAGGGGTCTCATGTTTCTAAGCCCCCCAGAGCCCCTGCATGGGGCTCACAGCCTGGGGTGCCAAGGGGTGCCTCTTCCAAGGCAACAGCCGAGGAATTGAGCCCCCCCCTTTACTCCGATAGGTCCTCCTGCCACAAGACCATCATGGAGTTTAGGAGCACATGCCGGATGAGGTGAACAAATGACCTTCCGATTCAGAGCCCTTCCTACATCGGAAGAAAATAATTGGAATAAACTGTGAGTTTAAAGTGAAACCCTGATGAGCTAACTAAGCGCCAAAGTGGAGAACCGATCACAAGCCCCAAATTGTCACAGAGGGAGGGGAGGAGCAGGGGAGTCCCCCCTTGAAAAGAAAAGTGTTTTTTAAGCAATAGCTTGGAGCCAAGAGATGGTTCAAACTGTAAAAGCTGCAACATAGCTGAATGGGGTGCAAAATAGTTCAAAGCGGAATAAAATAGACAGACTTACAGATTACTGAAACGGACTTTTTCTTATGTAAATAATGTCGACAAGAGGGGACAAAATGGTGAAAAAGATAAGACCTTCTCCAGGAAATGCTCGTTCAGTGACCTCAGCTCTTAAACCGGAAGCAGTCACTGACTTCTCAAACATGATGGCCATGGCGTTGTGCCCTCTGCTGGACCAGATGACTAATATCAATAATGAACTATACTGTCTCCAGAAACAAATGATGGATACAGTGAAGAAGACAGATGAAACTAATAGAGCATTGAAAAAAGTTGATGATAAGCAAATGTTAATAAGTAGCTATTGGAGATAGTGGAGAAAGAGCAGATCTCCGATAAAAAGCAATTATTACAGCTACAAATTTAGACATCACTTCACATTCTATGATTCCAGGGTATCCCAAAACAACAAGGGGAGAATTTAAAAGAAGTATTGAGCAAAGCACTGGCAGATTCACTACAAAGCGATATGGATATGGTTTATTGAACCTATCCGAATTTTATAAAAAAATAATAAACTGCCCGGTGAAATATTTGTTAAATTCTCCAAAAGATCAACCAAAGATGCAATTTTAAAAGTGTCAAATGGTAAATCACTGAAAACCAAAGGCAAAGAGGCAAAGA